GGTGTGGGCTCCGCCTGCCCCTGGGCTGTGCTGTACAGTGTGCGCACGCATGTGTGTGTTCGTGCCCTGGACGTCGGCAGGCCCAGGAGTGTGGCCGGTTTGTCTCCAGTCCCTAACCACTGTACCGATGGTGGCTTCCTGCTCGTGCCTCAGCACTGTTCTGTGCCCTGGAATTAATCCGGCAACGAACGCCAGCTCATTCCCATGTCCGCAGCCTTGGAGCAGGTGTCCTGTCACGGACGCTGGGCCTCGCCAGGGTTGAGCGTCACACAACTGGCCACAGGACAGGCAAATATTTAACTGCTTTTCTTTGTATTTTTAACAACATACCAAGGGACATTTTTGTTCTTTCAGCAGCTGCTGTTGTTTACGCTCTTGTGAATTATCGAGCATACTCGGCGCCCGTTTGTCCTTAGGTATTTCATGATTTCCTTATTGTTTCATTAAAAACTGTTTTATGGATATTAACTGTCTCTGTTATGTTGTAAATATTCTCCCTGATTATTCTACTATCAAAAAAAACCCCAATGCATTCAAGTATCTTTTTCCTATATGGAAACTTTAAATTTTGATGTCAAATATTTGTATTTTTCCATGCATCTCTTGGGGCCATACTTTGGCCTTCCTCATGCCAATATTAAAAAAAAGAATGTACCCACTTTTGATCTTGACTGCTTTGAGATGTAATCAATAGGGTGTTGGTGGTGCACACCTATACTCCCAGCTGAGGAGGGAGGCTGAGGCAGGAGGATCACTGTCAGTTCAAGGCCAGCCTGGGCTGCGGTGAGCTCAAGGCCAGACTGAACTGCATGGTGAAACCTTGTCTGAAAATGACCAAAGAAAAGGTGGCACATGTCAGTGCCTCACTTCCCAGCCTGCCATCACCCAGCTCTTCCCGGAACACTCTCATCAGCCCAGGGGCCGCTATAGGCCCATTTGCTTTTTCTGTTGCACTTCGCTGCTCCTTCTGGATGTCATCTTGGGAATTGGTGGCAGGGGCTGTGCAGACACGGCCATCCCCACATCACCATGCTCTCCCTATGCACCCCCCAACCAGATCTGCTCCTTGTTGAGCCCCTCGGACATCAGGCAGGTTCTTGTCACCATCAGTGCGGGGAGGCGAGGATGAGCAGGTGCTGTTCTGCAGCACCCCCACCAGCATGGAGGCCTGCTGAGCCAGCAGAGTTTTCTTTGTGGTATTTATTTACTTATTTGGTCCAGGGTCTTGCTGTGCAACTTGGACTTGATCCTTCTGTCTCAGCCTCCCCAGTGCTGGGATTACAGGTGTGCGCCGCCACGCCTGGTTTTGGGGCCAGCACATGTGCCTGGGGTTCCCAGGCTGGCACTGCGTGTGGTCCCAGGGATTGAACTCAGGCCCTTGCACTTGCCAGGGAAAAGCTTATTCCACTGAGCCATCTCCCCCGCCCTTTCTTTCTTCTCTTCTTGTGGGAACCCTGTTTTTGATCCGAGCGCCTTACGGCTGTCCAGATTCATGACAGGTGCCGGGAGACGCTTCCCATCCCGCCAGCTCCAGGTGCTCCAGGTGATTTCTTCCTGGACTCTGGATAGTGGTTTCCTTACTGCCTCCAGGTCAGGGCATGTCAGGCATTTGGGGACCAGTGTGAGGGCAAGAGAAGTGTGTGAAGAGAGGCCCCAGGAAGATTCGCCGCCTCCTGTCACTGGGATGGGTGGCTGCAGCCTGTTGAAGGGGGAGGAGTCCTCCTACCACCATGGCCAGGCCATGGCCATGGCCAGGCCGCTGACCAGGAGCTCTGTCCTCCAGCCCCGCCCTGTCTGCTTCTCAGAGGCTGCTCCAGCGCCCAGGCAGAGGCCACTGCGGCTGTGGTGTGACTGTCCCCAGCCTGAGAGCAGTACCAACGAAGAAATCAGCAGTAGTCACCCTGGAAACTACCAGTGGCCCTGCCACAAGGCTGGTTTTCCATAAGAAAGGCACCTGGTTTGTCAGTGTCACAAGCTACCTGAGACTCACCCATCAATCCTCATTCCTAATAAAGTCCTGTCAGCAATGCCAGACCCTGTTCCCACTCACCTTCCTGGGCCTATTACCTGCAAGGAAGCACTGACTCCTACGTTGCCAAAACAGAGGTGGACTCGGTCCCTGACCAGGAGATGCATTGGACAGATGTGCAGTGCTCACAGACTCGTCGGGGTGCCAGGACAACTGGTGGACTGGCCATTGGCACGGCCTCAGTGGCCCCTTGTAGCGCCTGGTGGGCCCTGCAGACTGAAGGCGAGGCATGCCGTGACGGGAGAGGCCAGGCCTTCACCGCGGGCCTGTGCTCTGTCCACGCCGCTCGGCAGCTGTGCACCTGCTGCTCAGGCCTTCTGCGTGGAAACGGTTCTGCGATGCCGTTTCCTTCTGCATCTTGTTTGATGTAGCAGTCCCCAGCCTTTCTGGCACTGGGGACCAGGTTCACGGACGATGGCTTCTCTGTGGGGGGGGGGGGAAGCAAGTAGCTTCGGTGATTCAAGCATGTTACACTCATTGTCATGATTATGCAGTTCCTAAAGCAGAATCGGGCAGAGCTCGGAGCTTGTCTCCTGCAACCGGATGGTGCCATCTGTGGGTGATGGGGAACGGCGACACCGAGAGCCTGTCGCTTCTGTCCAGTTTGATCTGTAATCTTGTTCCAGCCTGCTGCATGAGGGTAGGAAGCTGGACAGGGAAGCAGGCTTTCCCGAGCCTTGGTGGCAATCCGCCTTGATTTTAATTCAGAACGTACAGAACTGAAGTTGCCTCAGATGTATCTTGAAGGTCACGCAGTGTCATTCGTGAGCTCAAGCAGTTGATCCCTCTAGCACAGTGACTCACCCGGCGTATTCACACATACTGCTTTCCACTCCGGGAGCCTTCTCTGTACAGCCGAGAGAGCTGGAAGAGGGACGGCCTGGCTCGGCCTCGCTGGGAATCTCTGCTAGGGTCTCACACGCTGAAACCCGTGTCGACCTGCTGCCCGCACGCGCAGGCCCTTGGGCTTGGAATGCAGCTACTTTATCTGCAGGCTTGAGCGTGGTTTGTATGCTCCCTTGAAATGATGGACTGAGTTTATTGAGAAGGTTAAATGGGACACAAAAGCCAGTTTTGAGATCCATTCTGTGTCACTGAAATGTGCTGCCAGTGGTGACCTTCTCTTTTTTAAATCTCTGGAGTGGCTTTGATAACTCACAAACAGTGGCTAGTGATCAGCCTTTAGACAGCATCTCTGTGTATGAGGAGATGCTGAACGCTACAGACGTGAACAGGCGTGAATTAAGGGCATGTGCTGTAATGTGGCTGATAATTTTAGTTACATCCTACGAAATGTTCAGGTGACGTTTTTCAGCTGCCCAGTGCTCTGTGGTTGACACAGTGCATAGCCTCACATTTAGAAGTGACCTCTTTGACCCAGAAGTGGAACTGACCAGCTGTCCAGCCTTGGCAGCTGGCCTGTCCACGTGCGTGCACACACACACACACACACACACACACACACACACACAACAATAATCATTTAAAGGTGCGGACACTTCTGTAGCTCTGGTGTTGGTTGGCAGCAAAGTGGCTGTAATGTCCTCAGGACATCCTCCTGAAAAATATGTCACCCTAAAGTGAGCACCACGGCCTCGTCATTATCACCCTGGCCTCGCCAGCCTAGGTCGCTTACCACGGTGACTCCTTAATCCTAGCGCTGTGTCTCAGTCTCCCGTGCTGCTCGTCCCTCGTCTAATCAGGGTGCTGGAGGAACGCGTGCCCCTCTGAGCTGCAGCCTCCTCCGCCAGCTCCTGACGAACCACCTTGGCAGCAGGCAGGACAGCTCTCCACCAGCGTGAAGGGCTTCTTAGCTCTGGCAGTGCTGCTGGCTGCTGAGGACACTCGTGGTGCCAACGCACGTGCCGAAGTGGGGCCGTCCAGAACTGCTCCCGTCCTGCGTGTTCATGCTTTTTTCTTTGTAAACTCCAAAGCCTTGTCTTTCAAACCAGGGCGCTTGGCCTCCACGTGGCAAAGCAGTTTTAAGCTTCATGGTTTTGCCTGGAGAGCCCGTGGCCACGTGCTGAGCAGCGTGGGCTCAGGGCATGTGAGTCGCCCGTGGCAGTGAACCTGCAAGTGAGTTTGTGCTCGTAATGGCCTGCATGCCCCACCATTAGAATGTTTTAGCTCATCCTAACAGGCATGTTTAGTCTTAAACTTTATGGACATAGAGGAAGCATAATACTTCCATACCAGTCCACACCGAGTACTGTTGTAGAAAGGTGAGATAAAAATAAAGAGGTGCGGTGTGGTGGCACACGCCTGCAATCCCTGCACTTGGGAGGCTGAGGCAGGATGAGCATAGCAAGTTCCAGACCAGCCTGGGCTACAAACTCAGCTCAAGGCCAGCCTGAACTTCACAGAGACCCTGTCTCAGCAAGACAAAACCAAACAACCCCCGAAGAGGCATGTTCACACCTCCCGCATGGCGCGTGGAGCGCTGTTCTGAGCTTGGTGGTGCTCGGTGTCCACCGCTCGCACCTCTGGGCCTGTGCAGTCTGCCTTCCACACGACCGCGCGCACTGGAGTGCACTTTGCGCACGCTGGTCCCCCGTGGCTGAGCAGCGTTTCTGGGCTGCAGGAGGCCCAGGAGACCTTGCACAGCCAGCTGCAGGAGCCAGAGCCTGGGTGCGGGTCCCTGGTCTGCCTCCCTGTACTGTCAGGACTGGCGGGGCCGGATCTGCCTGCCAGGGGCAATGCCGCCAGCACAGCTCTGTCACAACACAGCCGAGTACACTGTGGTCCATCTGCCGTGCAGCCCAGCAGCCAAGGACTGAAAATACTCCGAGAGGATGATCGTACTGCCTGGGACTTGTGATGACTCCCTGAACAGCGCAGTGTAGAACTGATTTGTACCTTGCATTTACATTGTGTAGGTGTACGCAGATGTCACGTACAGGGCTTGGGCACGTGGAGACCTGGAGGTACCTGGCACCCTGGAGCCAGCCCCTCAGGATGGGTCACCAGAAAATCAGCATCAGAAACCACCCACTCAAGGGATCTGCTACGATCTACGGCATCTACTGCTTCGTTAAAGTCTGAGTTGCCATTTTCTGACGTCGAATGCCATGGAATATTTATTTCCTAGATTTACACATTTGAAGTGCTCAGCTACAACAGGAGTCTCTCACACAGAAATAACGTGATTATGCAAAGCAGGCATGAAGACCACAGAGGCTGTGAGACTCCCATTAGTGGAAAACATCTGGGATGTGCTCAGAAGATTTCCTAGCTGTCGACCAAACACTAGCTAGATTTTTCAGCAATGCCACTCTTCATATCAAGTGATTAAACTCACAATTCTGGAATTTGTTTTTACTTTTTATAGACTAAAAGCTCAAATTAGATGGGTTGGTTTTCAGCTTTTAAAATATAGTTACATTTCCTATATATGCTAGACCTGCCAAGAGATGTGAGCCTGGAAACAAGCACTTGTGGGACTTGACCCCAGCCCACATGGGGTTCATCGAAAACCCAGGCAGGCTTTTTCCCCTTCAAATTATGCCAGTTGTCCTGAGCAGGAATTCTTTTTGGGGGGACCAGGCAGGTGTCTAAGCTGCAGAGCTATCTCCCCAGCCCCCTGAGCAGGAATTCACCACTCAAGGATTTTCTTTCGGTAGCAGGCCCGGCAGAGAGGACAGGCAAGGAGAGGTGAGCTGTCTCCCAGCGAGAACTCCTCCAAGGCCAGCAGGCAGGCGTGGTGGAACAGGTGTGCACAGGACAGCAGGACTGTGGCTCGGGGCTGCCGGCTGCCCCCGTGCGGGCCGAGTGGTGTCAGGCAGATGGAGCACTCGGAGATCTCGCGGTGAGCAGCCTGCAGCAGAGGGCGGACACTCAGTGGTCAGTGGCGGGGTGCCAGGGCCTTCCTGTCGGAGAGCACCGGGACACGCCTGACAGCTGGGGGCACCCACATGCACACGCAGAGTGACTGTGAAGCACGGCGAGGCACAGGAGCATGCGCGTGATAGACAATTTCAAAGCAAAAAGGCTTTCTACTATGCTGATCACTAATATACTTTCTGCAGTTAAACATGACGGAGACTTTCAAAATAAGTGGCTATGTAACTGCTAAATTTCCTTTGGAACTTTCCCTAATCGGACATCTTCAATTTTCCCACGCCTTGGCTTCCAGTTCCGAGTCTGTCTTCTTCCTTTGAAGCTGCTGCGCCCGCAGGAGGCAGGCCGGCCAGCATCGCAGGGAGCCTCGTCTAGGAAGGAACCTGGCAGGGGCTGTGCCCTGAGGCCTGCTCTGTTCACCAAGCACCAGTCCGCGGAACCCCACCAGTGCGACAGCAGGGTCCTTAGTGGCCACCGCTGCTCTTGGAAGGCCAGGGGCCGCCCGCGGAGCAGGCGCAGGGAAGCAGCACCCCCTGCCCGAGGGCGCCGGGAGGCGGGAGGCGGTGGGGCCGGGCCGCGCCTGCCTACCTGCGCTTGGATGGTCTCCCAGTCCTCGGCCGTGAGCTCGGGGCCACACTTTTCGTCCAGCTGCTGGAGAATGCTGCGGTTGACGGCCAGGCAGTGGTCGATCTCGGCGAAGAGCTCTTCAACGTCGGTGCTGAAGGAGCGCAGGATGCGCTGGCTGACCTGCAGGAACTGGGGAGGGCCGCGGCCGGCTGGTGAGCAGCTTGTCTGCGCCTCACCGCCCCTCCCTCGGTCTCCGAGGACAGCGTCTAGGGACGGGCGGAGGGTCGGACGGCCCACCCCGCGGCTGTGCGGGCGCGCTGCAAGCTATGGCGCAGCCCGGCCTGGAGCGCTCCACGCAGGAGCCCCCGACCCCCAAGCGCCTGCGGACCCGGTTCCGTTCAGAGGCCACCCTGGCAGGCCCTGCGGAGCGCACCCGGGTCGCGCCCCTCCCACGCCGGCCGCGCCCAGGCGGAGTCCCTGCGGCTCCCCAGGCAGGGCAAGGCGGGAGGCGGCTGCGCTGGCAGTGGGCGCAGCTTCTGTACTGCAGCACCAGCTCGCCTGCCCGGCGGAACATCGCGTTCACGCTAACCACTCAACCTTCCCTCGTTTTCAGCCTCCCAAGCGCTGGAACTGCAGGCTCGCCCAGGGCCCATCACCGTCTCGGTGCACCCCGGGGCGGCCGGCCCGACGCTCAGGAGCGTGCACCCCGGCCTCTGCGCTCTGCCAAAGCAGGCGCGTTAGTCTGCTGTCTGGCCGGCCCAAAAGTACTCCCATTAGCGTCATAAAATGTTTTGTTCAGTCTAAATTAAATGATTTTACCTTTATCATTTTCAAGCACTGAGTGGTAACAATTAAAACAATTTCTTCTTTTTCCTTATTTTTTAAAAGCAGGTTATTTACTGAGGGAAAGAAAGCTTCTGTCCAAGAGAGGGACAGAAGGGGGACCCGAGTGGGTTGCTCTTTCCTTTTTTTTTTTTTTTTTTTTTAAATAACAAATAGTAAAAACAAAAGATACAGAATTTCACTAAGTAATAAAATAGGAATTAAACAATAGTAGTTATAGTCCACAATGTTGTCTTCAAATTAGTTTAAAACAACTTCTTAGGGGCTGGTTAAGATGTTTGGGACTTGCTGAGCTGTCATTTGGCAGGTGCTGCACGGCCAGCCCCGAAGAGCAGAGACCCTGGACACTTCTTCACCGCTCCCAGTTAGTGGAAAGCCTGCAGGCACAGCCCAGGGTGCTGCTGCCTGGGCAGGAGGGCTGGGCTCCACAGGCTCGTGGGGGCGCACAGGGGGCCTGGCCGGGGAGAGGGCGGCGGGCAGCGCGGCGAGCACCAGGCCAGCCAGAGCTGGTCGCCCTGGCTGCTGCCCCGACTCTCCCTGTGTCGCTCAGGCTCCCTTCTTAATACCTCACCATATAATCTGCTTGATCAGAAACACACCAAAGCCTCTCAATATTTGTGGGCACCAGCCTTCCCTTCTTTCCTGGAAGTGACCCGGTAGCTCGCTTACTTGCTTCTGTGAATAATTTTATTTGTCTGTTTCCTTCCCCCAAAGGAATAACGCGAGGAAACCCGACTCGGGCTCTCCCGGCCGCTCCACCTGCGGCTTGCCTTATCGCTCCTGTGTGTGTTTCTTATCTCCTCCGATGAGTGCCTGAGATTTGGGGAGCAGCTGGGTCCTCTTTGGAAGGCCCTCAGCGTTCAATAAAAATTTAGGTTTGCAACAGATTAGAAATAAGGACAAATATATGCCCCAAATGTACATATTTGAAGAGAGTGCAGCAGAAATTCCTTCTTGGAGGAAGAAAAGAGCAGTGCTTGTCTAGAATCATTCTGAAGTGACTTCCAGAATGCACTCAAAGCGTTAGCTTATAGTCACAGCACTGATGGGCCCTGCACGTAGCAACAACCCTTCAGCATACACTCAAGGTCTGATAGCTACAAGTGAGCCCATCTGGCTGCTGTTGTCCTTGGAAGTCCAAGTCGTGTACAGTTGCGAGGATGATGTTTGGGGCGGCGGGGAGGTCTGAGCGCTCGGCACGATCCGCCCTCAGCACCAGGGCGGTAGGACTTGATCCACATACACTGGGCACCTGCTGCAGTCGGCTCCGAGCAGTTCCCAAGTGCAGCTCCTAGTCGCTATTTCTGAAATGTGAACTTCTTCTGTGTTCAGGTTCCGTTTTCCTTTGTCTTTCGCTTACTTTTCACGTGGGCTTGTCCACCTTGTAGTTGAAAAGGCAAGAAGTGTCCAAAAATACTGACAACTGAGTTCTGGCTTTTAAACGCCTATTTAATATAATGAATTATGCATACACAGGCAAGACACATAAAAATTAAAGAATCAATTTGAAAAAGAATGTCTTAATACATTTTTCCTTTTAAGTCTCATATTTCCAGTATTTAATAAATTGGGTAGCTAAGGGCTTGGACCATTGTCACGCAAAGCGATTACAGGTCATTTACAAGTAACGAACTGCTAAACATTAAAAAAACGCCCGCTAACAAGAGTGCCCAGGTGAGCTCCGTCTGCCCAGGAGGCGCCTGCAGCGATCCATCTTGATGTCAGCAAATTGCTTACTAATGTGTTGACTTATGCCACCCTCAAAAGCAAAATGAAAAGCCTGGAATTTACAGCGTATCAATGAATCAGTTGATAAGCTTTTACTGGTTTAATATCCTCCCGGTCTTGCTGCCTAGAGCCACTTCAAGTTAGCAACAGAATGTTTGCCATCTCTGTGTGATAAAGGAAGTCAAAGGACTGAGCAAACTCGGGACCATTATGCTGTTTGGTGAGATGGAAATGACAGAGCTGGAGCGGCGGGCGCTGGTGTGTGCGGGAGCAGGCGCCCAGCCCAGCTCTGACGGAGCCCCAGCCTGGCCTTTGCGACAATGCCTGGGACTGCTGGGTGGAGACAACACAGCACATTTGAAAAGTTCTAATTGCACCAATAAAAGAGCATGCCTCAGTTATAGGACTAAGCAGTGGGGTTTCCAGATAAGGATCAAAGGCATTCAAGGGCCAGCCGCTGTGCTCTGGGCAGCACGGAGCCCTCAGCACACAGTGCTGGTGGGAATCAATCTTGCAGCTTGGAGGCCTTCCCGCCTCGGCCGGAGTCCCCCAAGCCTGTGTAAGCAAGTACAGGATACTGCCACCCCCAGACTGCTCACGCAGCCTCTCTGACAAAACCCTTTGGGACTCAATTTTAATTCTCTGACGTTTAAGGATGCAAAACTCAACACTGACCTGTTCCTTTCTTACCAGGAGACTTCAGCATGTTGAAAAGAACTTGCACTGCAACACTGGGTCACGTTGCAGTGGCCCAGTCTCGCTAGGAACGTGCCAGTGGCATTTCAGGGCAGAGCAAATGCGGGGCGAGCTCTCGGGGCACAGGAGCACCGCTCTGGACGGGGGCGTCCCGTGCATTCCCACCTAGTACCCACAGATGCATGCAAACCGGAGGAGCACTCCGGGGGCTGTGGCAGCAGACATGCAGGACCACTGTTCTTTCACAGGCAAAGCTGCGGAGATACCCTAAGCTCATCTCACCTGGAGTGCTACAACAGCATTGCTCCAACCTGTAGAATACAACCGGCAAGCGACACTTCCTAATTTATTTTCTAAAGCCATCACTGCTTTTAGATGTCTTTTCCTTTCCTTTCTACTGAGTCCACTTCTTTTTCCCTGAAGGTAATTTATCTTTGATCTATGCCCGTGGTTCCCAAGTACAGCAAGAAGTTTCCGCCCACCAGCCAGCAAAGGAAAGCTGAGCCCAAAGAGGGAGCCTGGCCGCAGCTGCAGGCCTGCAGTGACCGTGAGCACCCTCCGTGCATTAGCAGGGCTTCCCGCTGTCCTGGGGCTGAGGGAGCCTTTCTCTTCGTGAATAAGCTTGGAAGGAGTATAGGTTTTGTTTTAAAATTATTTTTTTTTTGAAACTTGAAAACCTGGCAGTGACCTTGCTGAAGCCCCCAATTTCCATTGCAGTGTGGCCGCTTCGGAGGACTACAACTGGCGGGCTGGGCAGGACAAAGGGAGCCAGCTGCCTGTTCTTTTTAAAATTTGATACAGGGTTTCACTACACAGTTCAGACCATAGTGAGCTTCCCCAGCGCTGGGATTACACCACCACGCCTGGTTTTGGGGCTGGCACAGTATGCGGTACCAGGGGGTCAAGCAAGGTCCTTGTCCTTGCCAGAAGGCACTTAGACGGCCGAGCCATCTCCCCAGCCTGTGATTTCTAAAGTCTCACTTTACTTATAACTGTAGCTTCAACAAAATAGTTCTGCAGGTTTTTAAAAGAAGATAACCAATTTAAACTTTTCTTCACTGAAACAAGTGTTTACTTGACAAAAATAATGAATTTTGTTTCCACAAGAAGAAAAAGCATGTCACTGTCTTCCTGAGGTGCCGTGCTGGTGACACAAAGCTCCGACCCACAGGCGCCCCAGCGGGAGAGGAGTGCTTACTCCAGGGCCTGGCCTGGCCTTTCAGGGGAGCAAAGTTCGCTTGCAGGTAAGCTGTTCGGTGTGAGCTACAAAGTATTGTGCTTAATGATTACTACAGCTTTAGAAGCACAAGAGAACTCACACAGTCCCGAAACACTAACATGCGCATGAGCAGATGTTCTTTTAGTAAAAATGACCTGGATTACTTTACTGACCGTAGAGATGATTGTTTTGCCTTGGCCAGGACAGAAGTGGTCTGGTTGTCTCCCAGGCACTTCCTTCCCACGCGCCTGGGGCCAGGAGCTGTGCTGCCCACCCCAGCCCAGGGCTCCTGCCTATGGGAGTGCAGACCCCGGCGCCCTCTGTCCCTGTTCTTTTATTTATGTGGGCTGGGATGTCCGTCAGGGGAGCCCTGGCCTTCCGCGTGCAGGCATCGTGTGCGTGTCTGCGTGTGGTACTGGTACTAAACCCAGAGCCTTCACACCAAGCTATATCCCCAGCCCACAGAAGGGAAGTTTGGAGACAAGGGCTAAGCTACTGTTTTGCACAGGCTGAGTTCAGACTTGTCACCCTCTGCCTCCGCCTTCTGCATCCTGAGGTTATAGGCATGTGCTGCTGCACCAGACTGGACACCTTTCTTCTCTGTATATTTTATCTGCTTTATCTAATTGGCTTTAAGCCTGATGGGGTATTATGTTACAGTATTTTATTTTTTCTGGTAGCAGACACTGGACTCAGGACCTCGTGCTTGCCAGGCAGGCACTTGTGCTGCTGAGGCCTCTCCCCAGCCCTAGCTTTTTAAAACTCTGATGATATACTTATTTCAAGTTTTTTTCTCCCAAATACTAGTAACTGGCTTCATGAATTAGTTTAGCTTTTCTTTTTAATAACTCCTTTTATCTTTATAGTTTCTGTCTCCTACATTTAAGAGAAACTGACCGGGTACTGCTATGTAGTTCGGGCTGGCCTTCCACTCCCTGTGTAGCCCAGGCTGGTCTTAAATTCACCAGTCTTCCTGCCTCAGCTTCCCAAGTGCGGGGATTACCGGCATGCGCCATCCCATTTAGCAAGCTCATTATTTTTAATCATTCTCGCTATAACTGTACTAAATGCTACTAATTTTCCTCTAAGTACAGCTTTAGTTATATATCAAAGAATATTAGTTTTCTTTTCTTGAACACATGACAGTTATACATATTAGATTCCGAATTTCCAAGTACACTTTAAAATTCACTTGTTCTATTGTGATTTTCATTCTTTGCTATTTTTCTTACGTTGTTCAGCAAACCATTACATAGAATATTTTGTGTCATTTTATTTGAACTACATCTCATGATACACATTTTTTGGAAACACTAGCTTTAAACCCTAACCTCCCTCAACTCTTTCTGTGGCAGAGACGCAAAGCCCCACACCCACAACTTAAAGGTGGAGAGCTTTGGCTGTGGCTCATGTTTCAGTGCGTGAACAGACCACAGGGCAGAGGGGCCTGGTGGAGGAAGATATTGCTCACCCCGCAGTGGCCAGGAGGCAGAAGTAAAGCCAGCAAGTGAGGAAGGAGGTGACCCATCTCTCTGGCCAGACGCAGGGTCCAACCCAGGCAGCTGCAGCCACCCCCTTAATCCAATCATCCTCCACAAGCCCTGCCTCTGGGTGCTTGTGGGTTTGTGGAGGAGTCCAGATAGAAACCATAACCTCCCGCGCCTGCTCCCCCCCCCCCGACTCCTGCAAATCTCTTCATGTAAAATAAATTTAGTCCATCTAAGAATTACCAAAGTCTTAACACTTCCAGTACTGCTGAAAAGTCCAAGTCCAAAGTCTCCTCTGAGGCTCAAAGCAAACCCACAGCTGTGAGCCTCCAAAACAAAAGTGGAGTGGGGGTGCACACCTATAATCCCAGCACTTGGGAGGCTGAGGTCGGAAGACTGTCCCGAGTTTGAGGCCACCTTGGGCTATATGACAAAACCCTGTCTTCTCCCCCCTCCAAAAAAAAAAAAAATCAAAATAAAGATAGTGCCAATACCTGATGGCCCAGAATAAACACACCGACCCCGAAAGGGAGGAAGAGGGCAACAGGAATGGAACCAAAGAAGACTGAGGCCCAGCAGTGGGAACACTAAATCTGTAGCCCCATGTTTAGCACCAGGGTACGATCTGCTCAGGGTCTTAGAGACATGGCTGGGCTCACCCCATGGCCCTGGTGGCTGCTGCCCATATGGCCCCTCAGCTGGCTCTACTTGCTGCCTGCAGCTTCCTCACTAAACAGCCCATGCTCCTCGCATCTGCAGCTTCCTGGGATTTCACTGCACCTTTGGCTTCGCCCGCCTTCTTGGGGGCTCCTTCCGTTGCCTCTCAAGCTTTCCTTTGACATCTGAGGCCTTCCCAACCCCACAGTTCTTCCATCCTACATCCTGGTAAAGCCAGCATCATGTGGCCAACGCCAGCGTGAGCACGAGCTAGGCCCCCTCGGACCACGGCTACGGTGGTCTCTGAGGATGCCGAAATGAATTCCAGGAATCGATTCCTCGGGAGGCCCTTCCTGAGTAAGCTTCACAGCGGAGCTTTCTCAAGGGCTGCGTCCTCGGGCCTGTGCCGCGCAGGCTGGCCGGCGCCCGCCCGAGGCCCGTCAGGCCATTTTTCCTGCTGCTGTGATACAGTGCGCTTGGCTTTAAATGACGCCAGTCTTCCAGCCTCCTGCTCTCCTTTGCCCCAACGCCGCAGGAACTTACTTTCTGTTGCAACTGCAACTATATTAATTATTGTAAACATCCTACTAAGCTGTACTGAAACTGTTTCATCGCTATGCTTTTTTCCTTATTAAAATGAATATAAATTAAATAACAAAAGAAACTGCAAACTAAAATCATTCATCGCTGCCTTTTTGTTCTGATTCCCACTGTAGATGTGGCTAAAAGCAGCCAGGCCACAGCCCCAATGATAAGATGCCTTATTAAAGTTTCCTCCATCAGATTAATCAGTCCATCACTCATTTTTAATTTTTTTTTTTAAATGTACTTAGTACAAGGTCTACAGGGTCTCACTACACAGCATGCAGTGAGACTGCAGCACTGGACTCGTAGTGATCCTCCTGTTTTCGGCCTCCCAAGTGCGGGGATTACAGGCATGCGCCACCACACTCAGTCTCAGTCACTGTCTCAGCGCGCCTCGGGGGCGGGACTGGCACAGCATGCTGGGGATCGAACCCCAGTCCCTGTGTCTGCCTAAGCAGGCACCTTAATCTGCTGAGCTATCTGGCTGGCCCTAGTCCATCACTCCTAATCTCCGTCTCCTGAAAAGTCTCAGAACATGGAGAAAATGTAGACCAACATTTTTCCAGAGTGTAACAGGCACGGGCGCTAGGCCAGCTTCCAGCAGAGTCCGTGGTCTCACCCGAGGCCACCTGCGTCTTCTGGGCTTTGCACTGCTGTCTGCATGATGAGCACCAGCCAGGATCACCCCTCAAGCTCAGCTTCGGGCATTCCAGGGCTTCTCTAGCCTGCATCTTCAACCTTTCCAGCCCCCCAGAACCATTTGCTAAGGCCTCTGAACCACATAGTCAAGTCCAGTAGTGGCAGTGACTTTACTTTTTTTGTACTAATTTTCCATATTATTTACTTTGCTGTAGCTGCAACAAAATGCCTGAAACCTGCAGAGGTGGGCCAGCTCCAAGGAGGAGCCACGTGTGGAAGGGCCTGGCAGAAAGTGCTGCTCACGCTGTGGCCCCCGGGAAGCAGGGGCTCAGAAAGGCCTCCTTCTAGACCACACCTTGGGGACCTGCTTCCTCTGGATGAGACCTCTGGCGGACGCTAGATCTAAGCCATAACAGTACAAAGTGGACGTGCTGGTTGGCAGGACTCACAGTACACAGGCCCAGAAGGGGATCACTCCCTAGAACTCTACTCTCCCGTTGTGCCCACTTCAACCAGGAGGGCCACACAGGCCTTGGAGAGTGTTATTTTTTCTCACTCACAGAAGAAAGTTTTGCAGAAAAAGCTTTACTTACTCCGAGCTGTGCAGACTGTGCACAGACTGGTGTCCTCGCCTGTGTTTGCCTTGGACAGGGAGGAGCCAGGCCGGGGCAGAGGGCACCTCAGGTGTCCACGTGCCTCTCACACTTGCCGCCACTGGTGCCGCCTGCAGTGCTCCAGGCCTTTGCCCTGGTCACGTCCATTTTTCACTTCGACTGTGAGGTGGCACGGCATCACGATAAGCAGGGGCCCGAGCGACGGCTACACACGCTTATGACTGCGCTACTTAGGTGGCCCAGAAGGGTACTCCAACAACCAGACTGCTGTAAGTCCAGGCTCGTCCACTTCTTGCAGGACTTCCGGGTGGCTCTGAGACACTCCCGCAGGGAGTCAGCGCTGCCCTGGAGGGCAGCAGGCAGGGGCTTCCTGTGGCCAGGATCCTCAGTGGGGTGCAGCTGAAAAGGCGGACATTCAGCAAGACACCGCTGACCACTGTGTGCAGCTCTCAGAGAAGCACTACGGACAGCGTGGGGCTGTCCCGCTGCTAGTGTGCAAAGGGAGTCACCGGGCGCTGGCAAATGTGACATGATGTGCAGGAACACGGGCTGGAATCATTCCCATGTTTTCAGCACCCACTTTGCCTGGTCCTTACACAGCGTAGAGCAGGAATGACTCTTGTCACAGCACAGACAAGGAGGCCAGCCTCTGATGGCGGCCATGCCCTGGCGCCACCACAGAGGGAAGGCAAGGAAGGAAAGCCCAAGCCCAGGCCCCTCCTGATGCAAGTCGAGGGACATGGTTGGATGCGTCCCCAAGAAGTGAACGTGAGGACGGGAAGTGGTGAGAAGTGAGGTGGATGTGGGCGCCCCTGCCCCCTGCCCCCTCGCTGCAGGGACATGTGCAGTCTGCTCCAGTTCACGCTGCACCTCGCTCAGGCACCTGCACTACAGGCGGCTTGGAAGAGGACACTCAAGCGCCCAAGTGGTCACACAAAAATTGCTCTGAATTAACGGTTTTACCACCTTGCACACAGAGGCTGGGGGCCAGGGAGCCGGCAGGCAGCCGTCAGCTGCTCAACCCGTCTAAGAACCCTAAAGACCAAGTCGGTCCCCAAGGTTTACTGACCGCAGATGGCCACTTCCACCTGGGCTGGAGAGTTTGGGAGCTTCGCCTACCTTTCCTTCGAAGAATCTCCTCCGCAACGCGGGGTCGGCGGGAGGCGTGGCCTTCCTCACGCTGCGGTACCACCTTCTGACAACGTGGCCCCTCCAGCAGGCTTGGATTCTAAGGCAGACGGCGAGAGTGAGTCCCTGCTGATGGCTCTATTTTAGGGCACTTGGGGCTCCGCCCAGCCGCCCGCCAGGCCCGCGGGCCGCGCCTCACCCACCGCGCCGCGCACTGGGCTCTGAACAGGCGGGCCCCGTCGCCGATCACCCGGGTTTGGTACTGGTTCCGTCGACACAGAGGACAGGTTTTCTTATTTGTGAACTTTTCAAAGGCCTGCAGGCACGCCTGGAGAGAAAGATTTCACTGAGCATTTTATGAGTAATTACTTATAAACAACATTTTTACTTCTAATGTAATTATAGTGTTCTTTTCTCTCATAATTATGAGACTTAGTCCAATTTAGATTATGAAGCGAAGGAGTTTCATCAGATGTTAACACCTTCCTCGTGAAACTTGCTCCAAAAAAGACTTTTCACAAGCATATACACGCAGGGACATCAAAACCTCCTGCCTTCGCGGCTGCGGGCCGCGTGCTCCCGCCGCCCGCGGGCATGCTGCTAACTACCCGTGGCGACCAGGGGCCGCCGGCGGCCCTTCTGGAGGCCTCCGGCCGCAACTCACCCTGTGGAACACGTGGGAGCAGGACAGCAGCACCTGCGGGAGAGAGCTGGTCAGGGCCCCGTCACCGCGGGCGCCGAGTGCCTGGA